CAGCAGAAGCAGCCGATTCTGCAGGAGCTGCTGGAACGAGCACCGCCTAGGCAGCAGCCAGAGCTGCAGCAAATGCAGCAGCAGCAGCAGCAGCAGCCGCAGCAGCCGCAGCAGCAACAGCAGCAACAGCAGCAACAGCAGCAACAGCAGCAACAGCAGCAGCAGCCAATGGAGCAGGTACAGGAGAAAGAGCACACTCCGTTGCAGCAGGTCTTGCAACAGGAGTCGCCCGTGTCACAGGTGGATCGGGAGCCGTCGCAGCAGCGCCAGCAGCAGGGTCCGCAGGATGTCCATCAGCCTCACACGGAGGTGCTGCCGCCTGCCCTGCAGCAGCAGCAACAGCAGCACCAGCAGCAACAGCAGCAACTGCAGCAGGATCAGCAGCAGCACCGACACGCGTCGCCGCCAAAGGGCGTCTCACCCTTCGCCATCGCTCCCGCCGTCAACTCCCTGCCCCCTCCTGAGGCCGCACCAAGCGAGCCGGCTCTGCTGCCGCCGCTCCAGGGGGTGCCCCTGCCCCAAGAACTGGCGGAAGCCCTGGGGGTGCCCCTCGGCACTCTTGCTATGGGCACCGTGCCCAGGGAGGCGGCGGAGGGCGGCGGCGGCGCCTGCGGCGGCGCGGGGGCGGGCGCACGCGGCACTGCCGGCTGCGATCTGCTCGTTCTCGCGGTCCCGAAGCGGCCGCCTCGCGTCGAGCTGCCCGCGCCGACGCCTCTGAGCTGTGCGGGGCCGCGGCTGCCGGACCCGCTGCCGCTCTTCTGCCCGACCGCCCTGGGCCCCGGCGCAGGCGGCGCGGCGGCGGCGGCGGAAGGGGCGGCGGGCGACGCGGTGCTTGCGAGTGCTCTGTCGGCGGCGCTGGCGGGCGGCGGCGGAGGGCCGGCGTGCGTGGATCCCGGCAAGCCCGCGGTGCCACAGGGGAAGAAGCGCAAGCCGCCACGGGACCCGCTCGCCCCGAAGAGGCCCATGAACGCGTATCAGGTGTTCATGGTGCGCCACAGGGCGGAGGTCATGGCGCAGAACCCGGGCCTGCCCTTCAAGGTGCGCAGGCAGGTTGATCAGAAACGCCCTTGGCAGGTGGTGGCGCGGGCTGTGCGGTCTGCGCATGCACACGGATCCTTGGGTGTTCGTGCCATGTGTGAGGGGTCGCGCGCACACAGAGTTTTGTTTCAGGGACATTCATCAAGCAGGGGATGAATGGTGCGTGTGCTGGCCCACCATCTGGGCGAGGCCTGTCTTTGCAACGACGCCAACGCGACCGCGCCCGATCCGAGGCCCATTCCCGTCTCCGTCTATCGGCTGCTGCGCTTGAAACTGCGCAGGATATGATGAAGCTGCTCGGCCAGATGTGGGGGCGAGCAGGCCAGGAAGAGAAGGGCGCGTGCGACGCAGCCGCTTCGGTGAGGCCATGTGCACCACAATTATTCTGCGTTGGGCAGGCGCATCATGCTGACAGCCCCGGCCCCGCGCCTCGCCCGCCTTTGTCGTGCTGCGCTGTGAGCCTTGTGAGTGCATCAAATCCGACGACTCCGCAAGATGCCAAAACCAAGCCGTGTGCGCTCATGCTGTTGCTTGCGATCGTTTTGCAGGCGGACCGGGAGCGGTACAATCGCCAGCTGGCGGAGTTTGATGGCAGCCGCGCGGCAGCCGCGGCCTCGGTGGCGCCGACGGGGCCGGCTGCCGGGCACTCTGTCTGGGAGGCCAACAGCTTTTGTAACGAGGTAGGCGGGCAAGGATGGGTGTGACGTCCGCACAAGCGCAACCGACTGCCCGCGGGCGGGTCTATCACGAGCCCTGTCCTGCGTACAGAGCGCTGCAGTGCACTGCCGATTGTGTTGTGAGATTTTGAGAGCGCCCAGCACGGAAGCAGCCCGGCCGCGAGTCCGTGCTGGTTTTGACTGCATGCACGCACGCACACGCCACATGGCACGACCAGAAGCAGGGGCCCAGGAAGAAGAAGCAGCGGCAAGTCCACATCGCCGCGCTTGCGGAGCCACCCAGTGCCTTTTCTCTGTTCCAGGCGAGCCTCTTCTGCGCTGTCGAGGTTGCATCTCTCGCATTGGCGTGCTGTCGCAGCTCTTGAGCGACGCCGGCACCGCGGCGCCGGGCGTCGCCTTGCAGTCCCTGCCCACAGGCGGCCGGCAGCTGAATGAAACCATCCGTCGACAGCTGTTAGCGAACCGCTTGGCAGCAACTCATCAATTTATGCATGACCCTTCACCCATACAGCATGATCCTCCCATCACCTGTCCAACCGACACTCGTCGTTCACCCTCGTTTGGCCATGGGCCACCCGACCAGCACCTGAATTGGGTACCCATGCTTTGCTGCAACAGCACCCCTGCATCTCCAAGCACCCATATAATTCTCTACATTGGCTCCCTGGTCCGCTCTTACTGTAAACCTCCTGCC